TTTTTTAAAAAATTCAAAAAATTACTAAAATATTAATAAAAAAATTCACGTCAGCGCCGGCCGTATGACATAGGATAGTCGGCGTCCACGTCAGCGATTTCGGCTTAAATTGGCCGGATGGACTAAACTAGTATCAATGTGAAAAAGTTTAAGATTAAATTGGTCTATTTGAAAGGGTAATGACTAAATTGGTATCAATGCAATGGATTTGAGATTTTTTTCGGTACTTTTGTCGGTCCCTAGTTAACTGATATAACTTAACTATTAGATCAAGGGATGTGCACGGTCTATGTATTCAACTCGGGCCTGGTAAAGCATTTCTAGAACCCCGCGAATATAGCAACAAGGAAAATGGACGGGGGCCAGATTTCACCGATCGATATTGATGTAGTAAAATGTCAATTTGACTGGGAAAAGACATCTGACCCGAAGCTGGACCTCCGGGCATTTGCTTCTGAGAAATCATGATTGTGGAATTTGTTGCGGGAGAAGATTAAGCTCGAGACTTAGCCAATCTTGCGCGTTGAGATGGAAGTCATGATGATCTTCCCATCAATTTGGATTCCAAAAGCAGCATGTTTGGGGAGAAACATGCTGGTGGCTTTGCCTTGTTCTAAAAGGTTTCATCAAGAAAAATTGAATGATTATGCGATTGATTAAATGGCCAAAGCACAGAAGATATGTTCTTAATTAAGGTCTTCCTTGGCTGGCAATTTGTCGTTATATCGTATGGCTGCGTTTGGCCGTCGGAATAATGATTGGGATAGGATATGATAAAGTGGGATATCAAATCCCTCAAAGATAATGAAGGTTGACATATCTAATCCTATCAAGTATTTTGTACACTGCAGGATAAGATTATAAATTAAATAAAATATTCAATTAAATTAATTAGAAGCTAAGGAAAAACCCTAAATCTAGGAATTGTGGCCACCGCCTCCACAATGGCCAAGATCGAAAACAAAGACCACCAACATTGAGGTGGTGCAAGCATTGCTTCGATTAGTTCAACAATAGAAAACGAGCAAAGAGAAGTTTCTTTAGAACGACTAGAGGGCATCTCAAAGACCCAATTATGCAGATGCCTATGAGAAAACTTCCGGAAAGATCAATTGGATCCATTTGATATAGATGCCTACGATACCTTCTCCTTTAGTTAAGTTTTTTTTTCCCTAAAAAAATTTCTTATCCAATCCGGGTTTATTCCACCCCTTCCCCTATATTTTTTATCCGGCGTTTTATCTGGACCTATCTAGGTTTGTCTAATCCGAAGGACGTCCACATACACCAGATAGGATAATCCTATTTGGATTCAAATATAGACTACCAAATGCAGCTTTAAAGACTTTTCAAGGTTACTCTTAAAGAGAAATTAATGTGTATTAACAAAGAGTAGAACAAAATTTAAGCATTCTTTTCTCGGTAAGTCAAAAGAAGAAAATATTCTGTGGTTTGTTACTACCACATCAGCTGCTAAGGGAAAAAACTACCAAAAAAGTCTTAAACTTATTGCAATTGCATCAATTCAGTCATAAACGATGTTCATGTGAGCGTCGGCCGGCCAAAATTGGCTGAATGGACTGAATTAGCACAAATACAAAATGTTTAAGACTAAATTAGCAAAAAAAAAAGGGAAGATTGGGAGGCTTGGGACTGAATTGACACAATTGTGTCTGTTGATGTGGAATAAAAAGTAAAACAAAACAAAAAATCTGCCTGGAGAGATCTCTTGAGCCATGGAAGCTTCCCTCCATCGTCGCTCATGGTCGGCTCTGTTGTCCCTTGCAGTCGACTCGTGGTCGGCCCTGTTGACAGCCTAAATTGGCCTGATAAATTGAATCGGTACCAATGCGAAAAAAATGTTTAGGAGTAAATTGGTCTAATCGGAAAAGTTTGGGACTGAGTTGATGCCAATATAATAGGTTCAAAATTTTTTCGGTACTTTTCCCGGTCTTTGGATGCATGGGCTTTCGAGGTTGCTAGCTAAATCATTTCCCCGAAAAGTTCAAAGAAATTGGGAAACGAATCGATGGTGCACTGCATACACCGAAGGCGGGTCTTCCACCTGATTTATACAGGATTCGGATAAAAGCAAGGACGGATAGAAGGAGAAAATACAAAGAAAAAGAAAGAAGAAAAGGTCAACTATCGCGATTGTTAAAAACGGTCGAGACACGGCATCTCTCCTCCTTTTTATTTCACAAGATAGATGGATTCCTTTCTAAAGTTGTAAAGGATTTCATCCATCCGTCGAAACGAGGGGGAGCGAGATGTTCTGTCGTATGTTCGCACGCTTTAAAGATAGAGAATATATTCTCAGGCGTGTGCGACAACATTAACAAACGACAAAAAACCGCCCTCAAAAGAAAGTCCCGAAAATGGTCCAGTTGGGTTCCACATCTGCTGCATGGTTGGGTTGGGTTCACCGGAGCGACATGAGCAAAGGAAAGCACACCCAGCATAATAGCCTCAAGAAAGGCAAAGGAAGACACGGGTTAATGTCAGACCTAAAAGGAACTTTCCATCATGCATGCTGCCACTAAACCGCTTTCAATGCAATTTGAGCCTATTCATTGTTTAGGCATCATCGGATTATAGATCATCCATGTTTGCACTAACATTCATGAATTCTTGAATTCTCTCCTCCTCCTCCTCCTCCTCCTCCCCCTTCTTCTTTCTGTTTTTTCTCTTTCTGGGTTCGTCGGGTTATATAGATCATCCATCCCGTGAAAAAAGAAACCCTGATATTTTCGGTATTTCTTTATTCGGGTCGAGAAAACTACTGATTTGGCGACTTCAGGGCCCGTGATTTTTCTTTCGATTCAGAAGAAAGCGCATGGTTGATTAGTTTAGGTGCCTGACGAGGGATTTGTGGTCCAGTAATCTGATTAAGTGATCAAATCATGCTTTTAAATATGGCTAGAGTTACGTGGCCAAATGGTCCTCACTCCTCGACACACCAAACCCTAGTCTCTCTGCAACTGCGTGCCTGTGTGCACCATAGCCTTCCTTCCCAACCCAGAAAGGTGAAAAGAGAAGTAAACATGATCCAAGCTTGCAATGCATTTATTTCTTATATTGTGTGTAATCTGGTGGTTTCGTATAATTCATTAAGAAAACTGATAATGTGAGGAGGATATATCTTTGAGCATACCCGAGTGATCCACGTATAACATTTAGGCTTCGTTTGTTTAGCTAAAAATGATCGATTTGAACAACAGTTTTCTAAATCGCTTACAAAATTGAATGACTGAAAAATATTTTCATCGTCTCCGAAAAAGTTTAGACATAAATTGTTGTCGATTATGAAAATATATTTTATTAGTTATGTATTTCAAGTGATAAAACCGCTCATTTTTTTTAATATTTTCCAAGTCATTCATTTTCCGCAATACTCCCCTTAATTCGAAACGCTCTCAATTATCACTTGTTGGTTTTATTTTTATTTTCCTCTTATTAAATCCAAGTGTTGATTAAATTTCAATTGGCATTAAAAAGTTTATTGTCTTTTATGATACAGCTCCGCTTTATATTTTCCAAATTTATAAGTCTATAAGCCCATATTACATATATATATATATGGAGGGAGTGCATCTAACCATCTCTCAATCATTTGACAACAGATAAAAGAAATTTCTTAGATTGTCGCATAAGATTTTCGTATAGTATATACAAACTGTATGTATTTGTAACTTTTTAAGGGGTAATTTAATTCAAGTTAATGGCATCATCAGAAGACCGGGGACTAAATGTCATAGTTCATTTTTTTCTTAATTTCAACATCCTTATTTAATTTCTATATGTGTTTACTACATTAAAGCAGTTATATAAATCTTTTAATAGTTTCGTTTTCTAGTTTAATTCAATATTTGAAATCGCTTTTTTTTTCTTTATTTTCCTTTTGAAATTTTATTTCCAACCATCTTTAAGGCCCAATGAAGCCTATAAGTAGAAAAGTTTACACTGAGACATACATTCTCCATATGTAGCTTTTATAGTATAACGTTCCATATATCATCTAACGACTATAGTTCGTTTTAGAGAATAAATAATGAAAGTTACTAATTTGTAGATTATTCACATAATTTGTCAAAATTTTCTCGAACTACGTTCTCGATAATTCATCAAGCATATTAGCTCTTCGTAAGGGACCTCCATCTAGTTTTATAATACATGACAATCTAGTCAATGGTGAATCTCATAAAATGATATCTGTGCATATAAAGTATTCCAAAATAAATTAAACATATTTCCGGTTGATGCTCAAATAGTAACCGATGCAACCATTAACTCTCAGTCGATTATAAAAACTAGAAGTCGAGAGTTTAATTACTCATACTTTCCTTTCGTTCCATTTATGCGTTCCGCCATACCTTCCGATAGCGCATGATGAGATCCATGCTTAAGAAATTCATCCTTATGTCGGCATATAGTGAGAATCCACATTCGGTAAGAAAGCATTAAGACATATTCAATGAAAATGCATTCCACCCTATACTTTAATAGCTTAATGAAACTTTTGGAGTAAAGGGTCCCGTATCTGATTTCGAGTCTTCTTCATCACGTTATTTTTCCGACCAAAAAAGTTTCATTTATATACGACGAGATTTAATTTTTTTTCACTTTTCATGATCTAACATCACGTGCACGAACTCTACCGACTGAACAGAACCATAACTTAACCTCGGGAGACTAATTGCAATTAGAAGGGGGGGAAAAACACCCCCCCACCCAAAAAAATAATAATAATAATAATAATAATGAGTTGAGAATAAAATAGGGAAAATGAAAATGAAATTATAAAAGGGAAAAGGAGAAAAGAAAGGGGGAGAGGAGAGAGAAAATCCCAACAAACTCCCCCGGGAATTGCAGTTACGAGGGCGACATTATCAAAATTTCGCAGAAAGTAACAAAAGCCGATGCTTAAGTCATCTTACGTTAGACTCTGTTTTTGCCATTTTTAACGTCCCCTCACTCACTTCAATACTCTCTCTCTCTCACTCTCTGTGCAACGAAACCAGAGAAAAGAAGGGTAGAGAAAAAAGCCAAAGCCGAAGCCCACCTGTTCTTCTTCAACGCTTCTCTCTCTCTCTTGATCATCCACCCAAAACCCTATTTCTCGCACACTGCGCGCAGAGTCACAGGCACACGAACACGCACACACGAATACACTTCACTGCTCCCTCCTCAGCTCAGCTTTCTGTTTTTCTCTCGCTCGGCATTTCTGGGTTTCCCATCTTTCCCATCCCCGGCTTCGTTTCTTTAAATGGGCACTTGAATTTCATTCCTTTTCTGGATATAATTCCGACCCAGTATCATTAACATTACCGATTGCTCAAATTCCGAGCTTTTGCGAGAAGATAAGGAAAAAAAGAAAAGGCCGGTTGTTCTTGTAATCTCCTCGTACATTGTCCAAGTTTTTCCCTTTATTGGTTCGTTAAAGAAAAAAAAAAGGAGGGGAGGAGGAAGGAAGATCAAGAGAGCGCTCGTGGGTTTTTTGTGGGTCTGATTCTATGGCTGCGGTTGCTGAGATTTCCAATGAAGCAGCGGTTGCTAATAAGAGGTTGGATTCGAAACCGAATTCGAAGCCGGAATCGGAATTCACCATGCAGAATTTGGTCGATATGTTCACAAAGTTGAACCCTTTGGCTAAGGAGTTTATCCCTTCGTATTACTCCCAAGCTCTTGATCATCAGCATCAGCAGCAGCAGCCGCACCTTCATTTCCAGCAGAATGGCAGCTTCCTGATCAGCGATTTCCCAGCTGCCGAGAAGAATATCTCCGAGAACAACTTGGCGAATAATAGGAGGGTATTGATCTTTTCGGTCTGATCTTGCAAATTCTCTATTGGTATTGGATTGTTTTGGTTTGCTAGGAGTTTCAGTTCATGTTGGATGTACATTATTTGGACTGGGTTTTTTTCTTTTTGATTGAACGACTGGGTTTGAGCAGCTGGAAAATGAGTCTCCCAGTGTTTCATTTTGATCTTTGGCGTGAATGTTGTCAGCTTGATGCGTCCAGCTGGATATTGGGAATTTGGTTTCGATTATACTATATATAGCGATTGCTTATTCAATGAATTCGTGTTGGAAGATTTACAGTGATTTGGGAGACAATCCCACTGGAAATTAAGATGTATCCTCTAAACGTAAATGCTTGGTGGCAAGGTCAACGACAACACCGCAGACTTCGCATATGATCCTGGATTGTTTGTTCTAATTACTTGCCATTGATCAACCCCGACTGTCACATGTTTGTGATCTGGTCTGTATAATAATAGCTTCTCTGTGTGGTCTGATAACCATTCTTTCGTCCAGAAATTCGCGGTTTTTTTCAAGTCGAGTTTTGGTCCCCGTTATTTGTGCCGACAAATTTGGAGGTTATTCTTCATATTGATTATTTGAGCCCTTTTGATATGTTGAGCATGAGAATGTAGCAGTCATTTCTGCAGTTTGCTGGTCAATTAAGGACATTGTCGTCTAGAAACTCATGGTCGTGGTGTATGAATTGAATTCTCTGTAATTGTCAATCTCTGCATGCATAATTATTGGTTTAACTGTCGTTCATATATGTTTTTCTGCTTCGAGCGCCTGCAACATTCTTTGGGTTCTGAATTTTGTATATTTGGTCTCTGAAGTTAATATACACTCTTTGTTTTGCGCATCCCGTGGAAGATGATGATGTAAAGGAGCATGTTCTCTGTTATTGTGCAGATTTAGACTATTTATGCCTGTCACGTGCTCTTTGTCTTTATTTCATAGAGACTTCATTCTGAGCTGTGCCCCCTCTTTATTAACTTCAGAGAAGAAATAGCTTCAACCAAGGCAGAAGAAGGTTCAATGGACGGTCTTTTAGAGCTCAAAGGGAAGATAGTGTCAGACGGACGGTATACGTTTCTGACATCGATCAGCATGTGAGAGACACCACTATACCCTTGATGCAAATGTGTCCTTCATATCGTGTGTAGAGTTTTAGTCCAACTTAACTTGATCCTTAATATGAAAAATTCACTTTGAATTAGGTCACTGAAGAGCAGCTGGCTACCCTATTTAGTAATTGCGGACAAGTAAGTTCACTGAGTAGCATTATGCATTGTATTAATATTCTGATACATTTACTTGATACGCTGCTTTATCAGTTTTAAACAGGTTGTGGTTCCTTCAAAAGGGATTGGTGTAATGTAGGAAAGCGTTAATGTCTCTTAATTATCGGTTCCTGATGTTAAAAATCGGTTTGCATCACCCTGAGGCTTGGTTGAACTGAAGCTTTATACCTGCAAAAAGTCACAAGTAGTTTTATGCTGCCTTGCGCTTTACTTTTTGTTCTATGATTGACTGAACCGTTCTGCCATTGCTTCCCAAACTGCACTTTTTGCCGTGTTCTGTTCCCTGTCATCCATCCCAGGAGCCCATTCTCAAACAGATTGTCTCGGTCTAGTACTGCCCAAGATGAGATAGTAACCTGCATTTGGAAGAATTTGTAGGAGGTGAAGAAAGAAGAGATGGAGATAGTAATTTTCCTCCTGTTTGTTTGGAAGGGTACACAGTGGAGGTGAAGAAATTGTGATGAATTCAACTTTTGTTTGTTTGGAAAAGAATAATTGAGAGGATAGTAAATGACACTTCTCCCCTTTAAAGGTGGAATGTAAAAACTATGTCACAGATGCACTTTAATTCTTGCCAAAATAAAAGATATGGTCCAACTAACAGTAGAAGAAAAAATCATCTTCAGGTTCCAGATTTTCACTTTTTCTGGGCCACTCCCATTTTCAGATATCATTACTTGAGAATGGGGCTGACGGTTCATGGCCATAAGTGATAATTTATGCATCATGTGCGGGATTTTGGTACTCCATTCAGTGTGCATTTCTCTTCACTTTCATCCTGAAATCGGGATGACTAAGATAAGGGGGGGTTTCAACTGGGCTTCCAAACAGAGAAAAATTACTTTCCCTTCTCATTTCCTTTCCATCAGTTCCACCGTTTCCAAACGCAGCACAAAGATGTCATTGCAGCATATTAACTGGATTTCTCTATTTTTTCTTTGAAGGTTCTTGATTGCCGAATTTGTGGCGATCCACATTCAGTTCTTCGATTTGCCTTTGTTGAATTTGCGGATGAATGTAAGATTTCCATTTTGGCTGGCTAATTAACCTCATATTTATGTGGGCATGAAAGTATTGGGATGCTCATGTACCATCGTTCCTTGGAATGTGTTGACAGATGATGCAAGAGCAGCTTTGAACCTCGGTGGGACAATGTTAGGATACTATCCAGTGAGGGTTTTACCATCAAAGACAGCTATACTTCCTGTAAATCCAAATTATCTCCCAAGGGTATGAAAAGCGAATGCTGCCCTTTAAGTGTTATGGTCGTGGCACAATGTTCCACTACTTTTTGCCTCCTTTTACACTCTGTTCTAGTACATGGCCATATGATGCTAAAGAAGGACTCTGGATCATGCATGTTTGTGCTTAATATCCACACGTACCGTAGATGCTTAAAGAACTTTCGAAGTACTTACCTATTGGGCTCTTTCATACAAACTTTTGTTTTAACGCAGTCAGAGGATGAACGAGAAATGTGTACAAGGACAGTTTATTGCACAAATATTGATAAAAAGGTAAAAAGTAAATTTCGTCCTTTCAGTTAAATTTCCGAGTTTGCTGTTTCTTTCCCAAGGTCCTTGCCATATGCTACATGTCCTCATCTGATGGCTAACTTGCTTACTGATTGACCATATCGCAGTGTTCTTGCTTGCGCCAGCTTGATATGTTTGGTTTATGTTCCATTTTTCTACCGCAGGTTTCTCAAGCTGAAGTCAAAAATTTCTTCGAAGTAGCCTGTGGTGAGGTCAGGCCAGGCCAACTCTCTCTCTCTCTCTCTCTCTCTCTCTCTCATGCACACGCAATCTATGTTGGACTATCATTTTCCGTAGACTATCCAAAAACTAATTTCTCTGTAGGTCACTCGCTTGAGGCTTCTAGGGGACCATGTGCACTCTACTCGCATTGCTTTTGTTGAATTTGCTAGGGTAAGTCTGTTTTTGCTTCCTGAGATTGCAGAGTGGGACATCATCATTTTATTGATGTATTTGTACCTGATTATGTTCCCTAGATTCTTGCCTTGCAAAATCTAGAGACATAGTCTGAATCTGATGGTCCCTTAAAGCAAGAACTACAGTGTTGGTAATTTATTCCCAAAGAAGGGATGTCCTTTTATATGCACTAAATGTAACTCGGCGTGTCCATGAATTTTGTTTTTAGTGTTTTCTGAGCGTATTTCATCTATGTCGTCCTCACATTTTTCTTGCTAGAGATAAAATTTTGAGCATGCCAAATAGACATGTGCAACCTGGCCTTGATTATGAATGGTCAAAATTGATTCAAAGCATAAAAGTATTCTCTCTTTTGTTATGTTAAGTGCCTTGTGAAGAACAATAAATCGAATGAAATCAAATGCATGGAGCTCATATCAGGATTGAATTTCCTCTCTTCATTTTCTGCCTTGTTTGTTGGGAGCAGCCTTATAAGCTGGAAGCTTTCTGCATCTCCAAACTAGTGAAAATAGAAACCTTTTTCATACACAAGGTCCTTTCCCTTTAGAAACTAATTCTGAAGGACCGATAGAAGAAAAGGAAAGAAAGAACAAACTGGAAGTTCAAAAAGTACACATGTTTCAGAGTTTCAGTAAATCCTGAGGGCCAGGTCGAATGTAAATAAGTTTTTGCTTGCCAACTGAACTGAATTTCGTTTTTGCGTTTGAGGAAAAAGATAGATGGAACATAGAAGATTAAATAATCACAGTGAAATGGTACGAGGAGAAGAGATCTGTGATTATTTCTCTGTGATTATCTATTGTTGCTATATTACATGCCTGCATGTAATTATCCCTGCACATTAAATCAAATTATCTCTTTTTCTTGTTTGGCTTTAAATCTGCATAAGACATTACAGCAAACGGATTGACGCACTTTGCATAGTGGCGTGCTTTTGCATGTGCCTGGAATTTCCTTTTGGCACTGGCTTCATAACACAATACAAGGATACCTTACTATGTTGTCTTTCTTAAATAAATCTTCCTAGTCATAAATGTAAAATGCATTGCTATTTTCTTTGGATCAGGTCATAAATGTAAACTAGTTGATCCTGTGCTTTGGACTCGTTCGTGCTTAGTTCTTTACTGTATGAATTTGGTGCATCTATTCATGCAGATGAGAGAGCATGCTCTTGCTTTGACCTTATTCTGATGATTTCCCCAAAACAAAAAAGAGAAGTGATTCGAAGTTGTTTCTGTGGGCAGGCTGAAAGTGCCATTGTTGCTTTAAATTGCAGTGGAATGGTCTTGGGATCTCAGCCCATCAGGTGGATCTTTAACTACGAGCAATTGCAAATTTTTACCTTTTAAGACCATGACTAAGCTTTTTTTTTCATATAATATCTTCAATTGTAGGGTAAGTCCTTCAAAGACACCAGTGAGGCCGCGGGTTACTCGCCCACCAATGAGTTGATATTGAGTGGAGCTTTGAGGAGTCTGCGTCAAATTTGGCTACTGAACAGTTGAGAGGAACTTTGTTGGGACAAAGAGGTTGTTGAACTTTGAATTTTCCTCTTTTTCATTATTCTCATCTTGATCTGTCGCAGCTGCAACATTTTCTGTGACCGAAAATGCCTTGACCCCCTCTCAGTTTCACTTTTTGGAGGACCGATCTCAATCTTTGAGGTTCTTTAACCTATTTAATCATTAATCACTATCGTATGATGATTTCGTTTCAACTGCATCAGTGGTGACACGAAGCAAATCCTTGCCCATGCTTTAGCAAAGACTCGTCCTTGTGCAGGAGCCCTTGAAGTTGCCATATTGAGCTGTCACTAGTTGTTAGTATAATGTCACAGCACGAGTGAGAACTGATAGGAGAGTTTGCTGCCGAGACAATCGAGAAAAAGGGGGTGTTCTGGAACTTGAGATCACGGCACGCTCTGGCTGGTTTTTATTATGAGTTCTAGTTTCGCAGCCTTTAGGATACGTTCTCTTTTGTTCTCAAGAAGGGTGGTTGCTTTTGCAGGCTCTGTCGGTAACTTAATGTGAGCCTGCATGAGAATCAGTATGCATTAGACCACTTTCATGTTCCCACACGAGAAAACAACACTAGGATCATGTTGGGGCACTGATAAGTTGCAATGCCACATGTGAAAAGATTTGTCACGTCTTGGGTGATATTTTTTCATGCATAGGTCAGGACACACTAGATAATCAATTCACCGATGTTGAAATTCGATCTAGTAATAGAAAATCATAGGTAGATGGGGGCTTGTCTATGGTATACCTTTAAGATTTGGTATCTGGAGTGGGGGGCGTTAAAGGCTACGTCTGCGCTATGATGAGCAAAGATGATGCTGTCATAGTTTACATTAGAATTGTCCCCTAGAATTGTTCCCTAAGGGCAAGGGCCAAGAACTAGATGGATCTTGCGCGAACCATCTGTCGCCCGTCGCCGCATCGTGTTGCAACACAAGTGCAGAGTCTTGGCTTTGTGCTGGATCAAGCTTCGTCAATACGCTCCCGGTAAGCTTCTCCAAGGACTTGTGGAAATACTCAAGCTCTTCTAACTCCAAATGTTCGATTGGCTCCTCCCACCAAAACCCTCCATTCTCAGCTCTTCCACTTCCTTGCATCTGCTTTAGATCCGCCTTCTCTTTCTCTAGCTGCTTCATCGCTTCCAAATAACGCTGTTTCGACTCGTGCGTACTCTGCAAGTAGGCATTGTCGCCGCTGCCGCTACCACCTTCTCCTTCTCTTCCTCGACCGCCACTGTCACCGCTGCCAGTGGGATCCACACCGGCAGCTCCATCAAGGTAGCCTTCGAGGATTCTGTCGACTTCCGGATGCCCGAAGCAAAAGGCCTTCTTGCCCTCCGAAAATGTTATTATGACTACTTGCGCCCCGCACAGAATACAGAGCTCAGCGCCCTTTTCGAACAAACCCGTGCGGCGTTTGGTGAAGGTGACGCGGCGGTCGTCGACGTTCTCCCTCTTCTTGATTTCAATCTTTTGTCGGCCCTTTGTCGCCTTCTTGGAGTTGTTTCTTGAAGCCATCTTTAACCTTCAAGTGATCAATCCAAAGGGAGAAGCTACACAATACTAGGTTCAGAAGGGGCTTGTGATCTTATTTATCCGGGTACATTGGCTTTGACTTGATTTGGTCGAATGGCCAATATGAGTCGTTGGCCAAAGATATGGAATTATCAGCTGCACTCACAGATTAATATGTTGCCAATTTCGGGTCAAACCCACCTCTTTGGATCGTGTCTCACATGGAAATCTATGGAATATGAATATTGCATTCTTGATCACCTTTTGGATATTCAGCGGATTGTTTATCCACTTCCGGTTGGCCAAGTAGTGATTCTATAATCTTGTCTGAAGAGGAATCTGCTCGCTTTTGCCCCCTAATCACCTAAGCTTCCAATGTCTACTAGTAATCAGAATTCAATGGCATATAAAAATTTGGTCACGCCTCTACAAACCACCTCTGCAATGGTCGCGACCACCCACGGTGGTTGCGATTCCACGACGACCACCTCGTCCACTGTCTCGATGGTCGCTCGAGAGGATGGGACAGATCTGCTCAATCCATCCATTGCTCAGAGAGAGAGAGAAGGGGGATGTCCATGAGTCTCTCGCAGAAATCTAAATCTAGTCGTTACAGCGATCATTGAGCAACTCAATCACTTCGAGTTCAAGAGAGTACTTCCTCTCCGGCAACCTCTTCTTTCGACCACCGTGCCCACGAATTCTTTGCAAAACATTTTCCTTTATACATTGGCATAGGGTTTGATGAAATGATCTGCAAGAGCAAGATATCTACTACAAAATCAGAGGTAAGGGCTTGAAAAGAAAACCTAAGAGAAACTATCCAGAGATCAATTGGCTTCTCTGTACTCTATAAACAATGTTCTCTTTATTGTATTAAGAAAACTATTGACGTGCATTTCGGGAGTACTTGTTGAGCAAGCGTATTTTATTTGGAATAATTCAATTTTCAAAACGGGAACGGTGCATAACACGAAAGCGACCCATAGAATTTCTTTAATCGATTGTTTAGTAAGCACGCAGGCATTGACAAAATCCTTATTCTAATTGCCGTGCACCATTTTTATGAGAATGCATAAGCAGTCTTTTGTCTTCTGTGCGTTCGGCGCTGCATATTTTGACTCTGCTCCCTTCTCAAACTCGAATTACAAGCGGAATTGTCGTCCCAGTTCTCTTTCCTTCTGGGAAAGAGCCAATTTGGTAATCTTTTTCATTAGAGATTTCCTTTCGCATTCTCAATTTTGACTTTGCTAACCCCAGATACGACTTTCCTTAATTCAGAAGATCTCTTCGGGTGCGTTTGGTAACCATTATGTTCCCGAAAATAATTTCTGCTCAGAAATGATTTTTTTTATTCTATTCCAGGAAACAATTTCTAAGTATTTGAAGGCGTTTGGTAGCTGCCCAAAATTTCAATTCCTGGAATAGAAAAAGAACAGAAATGTGTTTGGTAATTGCACAAATTTTCTTTTTATTAATAATATTTTGAATTTTTTAATATTTCTTTCTATCTTTTTTTTTCCTTTTTTTTTTCTTCTTCCCCTTCCTTGGCGCATGGCCAGGTCGCCAGTGCCAGCGACTGGCCACAGGCTAGGGCAGGCTAGGGCCGGCGAGGGCGGCTCATGGCTTGGGCGAGGGCCGCTCTCACCCTCGCCCTCGCCGGCCACAAGCTAGGAAAAATGAAGAAGAACAACCAAGAAGAAGAAAAAAAAATTTATTTTCCATTTTTTATTCTTGTTTCCAGAACGAAGAAGCAACTTTTTTTTTATTCTGTTCCAAAACTAATTCTGGAAATAAATTTGTACCCGGGAACAAAAAATTTACCAAACGAATTTCTATTCTTTTTTTATTCTCGAGAATAAAAGAATAAAATCAATCGTTATTTGACAAGTTATTAAATGCACCCTCAGAAAAGCATGGATATTGTACGTCACCGTTTTCTTGAAATTTCAAAATTCCCTGCCAAAAAAATACGCATGTATGCATGTGTGTGGTGAGAATTCCCTTTTCTTTGCTCATCTCGTCTTGTTGGGCGCCGTACTATTTGCTTGTTCGTACACACAGATTTTTTGGGCCCAAAAAAGGTATTGAGAAAAAAAAATGTCACATTGAATATTTGAGCTGAAGTAAATAATTGATAATAATATTTAATTAGCCCGTATATAACTACGCGATTTGAACTTTTAAGTGAAGCTAAATCTAATAAGACTTGTTAATGGGCTCAACATGTGGATTCACTATGCTATTTTAAAGTTGTATCAAACCGGATCCATAAAAACAAATCGAAACGGATTAACCAGCCGTCATAAAAAAAACCATTTCAAAAACTGATACCCTTGTTGAATCGGTTGGCCTAGTCCAACTTTCAAATTTTTCATGGTAAAAAAAAAAAATCATGTAAAATTTAAAGGTGTGATATCAGGTAATGCACCAGCGTATTATCGACCACTACATCAAATGAATCATTGTCAATAGGGAAAAATATATTAGGGAAAATGTCAAATAAGGATATGAAGTGTCCTGATTTTCTCAAAAAATAGTTTAAAGTAAACATTATTTTGGCCTAATTCCAAAAAAAACCCTCAACTTTACACTTTGTCCCAATTATATCCCGAACTTTTTTGTCTCAAGAAAAACCTCAAACTTTTATCCGAATCCCAAATCTGCCCTCCCGTTATAAATCCGTCCAATTAACGTCAAAAAAAAAAAAAAGAGAGAGAGAGAACCGGCAGCTGCGGCGGTGGCCAAGCCTTCGCCGGTGGCCGCCGCCACAGCCGCCGGGAAGGAGCAGCGGCCCTCGCCGGCCCCGGGCGAGTCGTCGGCGAGGGCGTGCAACCCCCGATCTGTGGCGAGGGTCGCACCCTCCCCGGATCGAGGGCCGCATGCCCTCGCCGGCGACTCGCCCGGCTCGCAGGGTCGCCGGCCCGGAAGGCCCGGGCGAGAGCCGACGACTTGGCGAGTCACCGCAAGGGCGTGCGCCCTCGATCCGGGGCAGAGTCGCGCCCTCCCCACGATCGGGCCGCACGCCTCGCGGCGACTCGCCTGGGTCGCGAGGGTCGCCGGCCCGGAAGGCCTAGGCGAGGGCGGCGACCCTCGCCGGCCCGAGTGAATCGCCGCGAGGCGTGTAGCCCCGATCTCGGGGCGAGGGTCGCGCCCTCCCCGGACGGGGCCGCACGCCCTCGCGGCGACTCGCCCGGGGCCGGCGAGGCTCGCCGGCCTTCGGGAAGGCCCAGGCGAGGGCCGTCGCTCCTTCTCGGCGGCGGCCACCGGCGAAGCCTTGGCCACCGCCGCGGCTGCCGGTTCTCTTTTTTTTTTTTTTCTGACGTTAATTGGACGGATTTATAACGGGAGGGCAGATTTGGGACTCGGATAAAAGTTTGAGGTTTTTCTTGAGATAAAAAAAAGTTCAAGATATAATTGGGACAAAGTGTAAAGTTGAGGGCTTTTTTTGGAATTAGGCCCATTATTTTAAATAAGAACTTGTAATGGCCTTGAGGGTTTCAAATAAGGACCTCGCTTCGCCGGCCAATCAAAAACTTTGTTGTCCAAAGACAATATATTTTTTAATTTTTCTCTCTTCTTCACTGTTAATCTTCTTCTTCCTCTAACAAGATAACAGGGAAAAGCGGTGGCCATAGTGGCCAAAGTCGCACGCAAGAACAGCCAACTCAAGGACGCAGCAATAACTGGTGCCGAAGACTTGACCATGGAGGAGAGGGACCGGCCGGTGGCAAGGATGCAGTAGTACCTGGCGGCGAAGGCCAGGCCATGGCGTGGCCGATGCTGCCCGATGAGCACACGCTGATGAGGACAACATGCTGCCTCCGGTCGTCGCTCCTCGTAATCGGAGTTGAGAAATTAGTATTGCAGCAAAGGATTCGTGTGGAAATTGGACGAATCAGTTTGATTGATCAAAAAAGGGGCCAACATGTGCGTCTGCCATTCGTTGTCTTCGTTTTCGTGTCTTCTGTCAGCGACCCGCTTCACCATACTTGGTGACACTCTCACGCACGGCGGCACTCAACGGAATCGCCAAACTTGCCTTGAATAACCTCAGATCTTATTCCGCGTTGTTTTCACAACGTTGAACTGCAATCCAAGGTAGACTAGGTTGGTTGTTGGGAGTTGAGAATGCGCCACCATGACCAACTTTCAAGCTGGACGTGAGCTTTCAGGAGGCACGGCGAGCCCGACACCCGTTGGTGGGAGGGTCATACTACAATTCGAAGCCATGGAGAAGATCTAGCCATAGTGGACCATAAGCAATGAAACGCACCACGTCCTCGGCTTCTGGTTAGATTCGCAATCGCTTTACTAGATCATGCATCGCTACGCCTTAATTTGGAATCGTGGGTTCTCTCTCTCCCTGCACTTGAGCTCATCATCTAGAGGTCACGCTGCCTCGCGTCCTGCTTTGCCGGATGGTTGGGTACCTCCGCACGACCTTATCGGGAAACACTCTCTCCGAGCTCACTCTGCCTCATGGCCTTCGCATTGTGCAACACTGTGCCTTTGGAATCCTTCGACGAAGTAGAATATGAACACGGCGAATATGTGGCTCTTCCCTGTTCATCATGCTAGACGAAGAAGAAAATGAGCAGGAAAGAATCCAAAGGAAAATTTTTAAAAATTTATCTTTGGACGAAAATGCCTTTAACTGATTAAATAATTTATCTTTGGACGAAAATGTCTTTGACCAGTCGGAAAATTGGCCGGCCGATAATGTCAGACCTTATCTGAGACTGTCATGACCACTTCAAGTTTTTATTTCAAATAAAATTCATTTTGGATCATCCTTCGAGAAAATAAAGGTACTTCAAATCCTATTTCAAATTTTCCTAAAATATTACGTGGTCCATACAAACATTTGATCGATTCGTCTTATCGGTGCATGACGAATAAAAAGCGATATCATGGAAATGACATTCAAAACCAACTTCGTAGTTGCTTTAAAATCAAAAGCACGTGCCATTGTTCCTAAAAGCTATCCACATCAGGCCAGAGCAGCTCACTTTCTCAGTAACTTCCCCACATCTCAACTTGATGCGTCTGAGAAATCAAGGTTTTCTGACCAAAAAAAAAAAAGAAATCAAGGTTTTTTCACCATCTTTCTAGATTTGTACCGCCGTACCGGACCAATCATCAAGTAAAATCAATTTATAAAACATGGGAGAATGATGACCCTTTGAAAAGAACGACTTGCATTGACTTTTTCCCCAAATCGCGGAGTAGCTCCTCAATCCACACACGCACACACAACAGAGACAAATACAGCTCGCTTGCGGCGCAAGGGCTTGTGATGTACGGCGGTTGATCCTAGAAAACCCCCTTTTGGAACGACGTAACCGAACCCGAAAGGAACGTGGACATGTCGTAGGTTGTCCAGAAATCTTGAAAAACCTGTAATTTCGTGTCTGGTTCAGGAGGGTGGAGGACAAATCAAAACCCTCGAAGCTGCGTGCTTTGACTTTGACCGAACCAAACACATGTTACAGAGAACAAATAACAATGTCAACTTGGTCGTTTTAGACTGCTTGAATCTCTGTACTCGTTACGTGGTCGATTACGGTCAATCACAAGCAACGTCCAATCAACCGTCAATACCCGCTGTCCGTACGAACTTTCATGCATCGTCTGATCTAATCTTCTCTATCTCTCTATCTTCGACTATATATAGGAGCTCACCGCCGTTGGATTGCTTCAGTACCAATTCTTTCTTTTATCTTTGTACAGACACTCGTCTTTTGGGCTGACAGCATCTTGAAAACAATCATCTTTAGCGACGGAAGCGAAAATCCCATGACAGAGCAGAAAGGCAAGGAGGGAATAAAGGTTGTGATCATCAAC